CCATGATTATGTACCACCCGGTTGTTGTAACTCAAAATGCGGCTTTTGGACCAGGCACGTGCGCCACACGGTGCAAACAATTTTACAGGGGGTGTCAGCACCTCCCCAGTTTATTTGCCTCCGCTGCACGCTCGAGGCACTCCAACGCAGCGCCTCCAGAATAGCATTCACCGATTTTCTTGTGCAGAACATCAAATAAATGTTTTTTTTCACTCTCTCCAGATGCAAGACTATCTTCGACGACATTTGCAATGTACCATGCAGATACTCGGCCTTTTTTTTGTGCAATGTGCAACTCTGCTCTACTGAATAATTGCTATGAATGTAAACACTGAATAAAATTTTCTTTTCAGTATAGAGGGCTCATCACTTGCTAAGCTGTTTACCAGATTTAGGAAGAAAAAAAAAGGAAGTCTAAAACTGAAACTAGCATTAAAAAAAGCTGCTTGAAGGGAGGGGCGGGTGCATTTATTCAAGGCAGCCATGAGAGAAGCAAGTCCATTTCTCAAAATGTTGGCTTTAAGGATACCATGTGTTCACGAATTATTCACCTAAATAGACTGTCAAGGTTCAATGGATAGGTATGAGCCCTGTGCTACTGACACGGCTGGGGAATATTAACTAAGGAATTCTGCAAACAGGCAAGATGACATGACAGACTGCAACTGAGGTGTTAGGTAGGAGGAGTGCAACCATTTTTTTTTTTACTTTATTTAGGGGGCAGGGAGAGGAGAATGTCAATGTGCGATTTCCAAACAAACAGCAGCAGGGCTGAGCCCGCTCGCAAGCATGGTTCTTAACAAGTGTGAGGGAATGAGTTGGGAATATAATCAAGCAGCGGAGACTTATTTTGCCTTAAGGGGGGACGCGGCTTTGGGATCGCGAAAAATGGCAAAAAAATAGATTTTTTGAAACTCAAGTTTTCAGTTTCTGGAACCCTTTTTTTATCTGGTTCCAAAATATCTACACTGAAAACCGCGCAGAAGTGCTTCGGAAAATTCGTTTCACCCACCTAGGTAGCAAAACTTTTTTGGAAATGGCAAGAAAACGGCGATTTTCAAAAAATTATAGCTTCGCGATGCTTATGCCGAGAGCCGACTTCTTGGGCTCATCGGAAAGAGCATTTCTTCGCGTTTAACTTTCCCGCCTCAGCTGGCTCCTCCCTTTAACAACAAGCGAGCAAAAAGCAAATGTTTGAAGGTCGTTTTGAGGCCTTTGATTGGCTGTGGCCGCCATGTTGCCTCAGCTCGCCTCGCCATTGGCCCAATGCTCGCTCTGGGAGATCGTCGTCTGCTGCTTGTGCGTCGCGAGGACATGGCTCTCGAAAATCGCCACTTCGTGACGTGTTCACGGCTTGATAATCACTTAATATATAACTACGCTTTAGTTACGAGCACTAAGCGGATGCGTGATCAGGTTACTACGAGCGGGAGCGCAGTCTACGAGCGCCGCGCGTCATCGGAGTCGTCTTTAGCCCTAACTCCGCCGACAGCGAGACTGCGGGCAGGAACGACGCGCTAGCGCATTCGTGGCGACGTGCTTCTTTGCAAGCAATGAAGCTGAAAGCGGCGGCACGATCTGATTGCTACGAGTGGCCGCACCGGATGCACGATCAGATTACTACGAGCGGGCGCGCGGCGGTCTACGAGTGCGGCGCGTCATCAGAGTCGGCTTTAGGCCTAACTCCGCTGACAGCGAGACTGCGAGCAGGAGCGACGCGCAAGCGCACTCTTGGCGACGTGCTTCTTTGCAAGTTATGTACCACAACACTCGCTAGCTCCTCTGAATGACGTACGGGCATTTTACGCATCGGCAGCGGAGAACACAGTCAAACTTGTCAGCCCCCCCCCCCCCCCTCCCCTCACTGCCATGGATTGCTCGGAACAGCGGCTAGCAGTTTCGCCCGTCGTCATTCGAAAATGCGATGCCAAGTGCAGTGCGTGCCGATTTTTTGTCTTCGTAGTTACACATTTCGCACATCGTCATCGAACGCCGCCGGCAAGTGCATTACGCACCGGCTGCACTGTCCGCGCAGCCGCGCACCCCACGGTCATATGGAGTGCTGTCAATAAGCTTTTGTGATGCGATTCAGACGTGCTTGGAGCCGTGCTTAATATCGCCACGAACGTCTATGAATGTTTCGAGCTTAATGAATTGCTGTAGATTAGAGTTTCCGCGACCGGCTGTATGATGATGCGTTTCACAGCTAGAGCAGCAAAAGAGCACGTATGAATCAGGGGCAAAAATTTTTATATGCCCGTTTTACGTCATTAAATATACTGCTAAAAATTCCTGTGCCACCAGTTTTCTGCCCATAACTTTGTTATTTAGAAAGAGGGCATAGGCTGTCATGGTGTGATTCATTTCTCTGATGCAATAAACCTCTCTCTAAATAAAGAAATGTTCAGTGAATACTTATAATCAAGAACGTAATTACGCTAATTACAACTTCGGCACAAGAAATATGTGTAATCAATTCAGTATATGGTCTCATTCAATTACAATCTTTTCTGTCATGCCTATCACACCACTCCTTCATACAAAGAACTTGGTTTGAAATCCATACTTGTTCTTTGTAAAACATGAAAAGGAAATTATGGGGGGAAAAAAAAGGGGCAACCAAGGCACACTGGTCAGAGACCAGATACCTGAAAAGTCAAATATCACAAGACAAACCTAAGATCACAATCTTTAGGCGTTTTAGAGACGTAAAAAGAAGTTGAAACTTTAAACGCAGTTTTCTCAATACTGTTTTTTTGGCATTATACTCAGCTCGTGGAGCAGATATCTGGGCAACCACTGTACGGATTTTGATTCCGTTTATTTTGTAATGCTCCTTGATTTGTGCTTCAGGGGGCTGCGATCTTAGTTTTTCATTGTACTCCTTAAAGAATTTTTTATAGAGTTTCTTGTTTGTAGTGCAAGTGTGCTCATTGCAGTGTCGCTGGAGAAAACGTAAACTACAAGTTTTAGTGTTGCAAATAAGTTATTTTGAGAACGCAGCCCCCTTCAACATACGTTTGGCTGTGGATACAGCAATTACCAACCATTTTTGTCATTTTATAAATCCTCCAGCTCCTCCACGAGGTTCAATTGAAAAATAATTTGTCTCTCATTAAGTGTTTGTGCTATCGCCTCGAAATTTTTATGGATGCACGGTGAGGCCATTCTTAGTGTCTGTGCCGATTTTCATCGTCATCCGACCAGAAACAAGAAAGTTCATTCTCAAAGGCACGTCCCCCCTTAAGTGTGACAACAGTTGCAAATTTATGGACAGTTTCAACAGGCTTCTGTCACTACCATCATGTCGCCCCATCTCCTTTGCTTCAAAGGCGCATAAGATAAGATCCACCCAATCTTTTAGACCTGCCATCAAATGCTCAACAGAGAGAAGACGCCCCACCTGTCTTTAACTAGTGCAAAAAGAAGTGAGGGGAAAAAAGGGGTCCCTCTTGCAGCAATTGCGACCTTTGATTTGAGCACAGCCATTGGTGCACTTTATTTAGCTATCTGGGCAGCCGTCAACGCAAAGAGAATGTGCAAAGAGTATTCCTGCAGTGGCCGCACTCTCTTTTAAACCAGCATATTGTAGATCTTAGTGAGATCAGTTACTAAAAAGTGAGCTGCCAGCCTCACTTCGCATAACATTGCAATTTGGTGCTATCACATTCATTGCTTCATGCTTACGATAAAACTGACTTTTTTTTTTGTCGACTGACGACAACGCTGATTGATTGATTGATATGTGGGGTTTAACGTCCCAAAACCACTATATGATTATGAGAGACGCCGTAGTGGAGGGCTCCGGAAATTTAGACCACCTGGGGTTCTTTAACGTGCACCCAAATCTGAGCACACGGGCCTCCAACATTTCCGCCTCCATCGGAAATGCAGCCGCCGCAGCCGGGATACGAACCCGCGCCCTGCGGGTCAGCAGCCGAGTACCTTAGCCACTAGACCACCGCGGCGGGGCCTGACGACAACGCCGGCTCTTCTTACGAGGTTAATGAGGGGTGAGAGCACTTGTTCTTTATTTGTTGCTAACTTCGCGGCTCAATTTCCATGTGCACTGGCTAGCCACCACGATCCGTCAGTTTTGATCTGTCAGTTTTTGTACGATGCTGTGTAAAAAGGCGGACTAGTGAACTTTGGCACAGTAGGCGTAAGCTGTACTCAAATGTGTGCAGCAAGGCGCAATGATATGGAATTATAGCAAAATGGCGCAATCGGCGCCGCTAGATCACCGCAGTAGGGGTAGAGCACCAGACGCGTTATTCCTAGCTCACAAGTTCGGTACCTGCCCACGACAAGTTGCCTTTTCGTCCACTTTTCTTTCTTCACAATTACATTCCAACTAGTTCTAACAACATCCCCACACTTTCTTTGACATAAATGTCTGTCAGTTTTCACAATTACAGTGGCATAGTAGGTGTTTCAACATCATCGTTGTTATTTAGAGTGGGACAGTGGTTACCTTGCATGTGCTATGCCATGATGGCAGAAAGGAAATGTGTAGTCTGGAACGTGCTTGTTTTTCATAATCATCAGCACTATCATCATCGAGAGACAACGGCAAACATGGGTTGACCCTGAGGATCCTCGCCATTGAAAAATGTGGTCAAGGTTGAAAGCAATAACCTGCGGTTAATGCCTATCTCCCATGCCACCTCTTCATGCTTAGCTTTCAGCACGTTCGTCAAAACGAGGAAAGATATGAAGCATTTACAGCATGCGACAAGTTTTTGTAGCTACACTTGTACATGACAGATGCTAAATTTTTGCGGCGGTCGATTCATGAGGCAATGTTCTTCTTTGATGATGTCATTCGATGGTTATTTGAAAAATTGTTACAGGGCCTCTTTAACAAAACGCCCAGTTTACACAGGCTTTCAAATGAAAGCCCAGCAAACCCACACGATGATCTTTAGGTAAAGGGTAAATTAAGTCCAGCACTAATTTCATTTTAAATCCATCACAGCTTAAAGAAACAAGAATGCCACCTTGAGCAGCCATTGGAAGTAGTGCATCTGGTCTGGTGGCTCCTCTCGAGACAGGCCACAACACTGCAACACCAAGTTGAGCAAAGCATGCGCCCATGCAGTGTGGTTGCGTGCAGCCTGCCGTCGTGCCCCCATGTCCAAGCATTGTAGATGCTCAGTGGTGGCCTCCAGCAAGGCACAAAGAGCCAGCAGGGCATTTCCCTGCTGCGAAGCACGGCCTCTGCAAGATATGCGCCATGCATTCCTCAATCCAACAAGTGCCACAGCTGTGTCATACTTAGCAGTGTGACAGAACTACTTGCAATCACAGTGTCCAACTGAAACTGAGATTGATAAAAATTTAAGTTCCGGCAGACTCAAAAATATCAGTTTGAGTTGAGGTTCAATTCTGGGCAAAGTTCCAGTTTAAGTAAGGTTCCACAGTGCGAATTCAGGCTAAGTTCCAACAGGCTAAGTGTGCTGCTGCATTGCTGGCATGCCAGCAAGAAATCGCGCTTGTCGCCCAGGAAAGATCGTAACTATTTCCACAACATGTTAGCACTCCCGATCCTCGTTCAGATGCAATTCGCTCTTCGTGCTTGTTATCCGTGCGTACTTCAAGGAACACAAGATTTAGGCTACCTTTTCTATAGTAACTTCTCATGTGGAAAGCGAGGTGGCAGCCATATTTCGTTGTTAATATTGTCATCGACGGTTTGTTTTGATGCTTCGGTGGCAGCTTGCTGCAATGTTAGTTACTTGCTACAATGTCAACGGCGTTGTCATGGGGGTCGTGAGAGGTTGCTGCGAAGTTGCCAAAGTGTGTCGTAATGCACGCTTCTTGGCGCCCCTTGAGATTACAGCAGATACCAATGTTGCAGTTAAACGATTGCAAGAAAAGATAGCCATGAAATGCTATTACAGCGTGCGCGAACGGTGCGGAGACAGCTTGCAGAAAATAGCACAATCAACTACCGAAAATAAGTGAAGTGCAGTAAGAAGCTGTTTCCAAACAGGGTACGTAAAAACCCGTCAATACGTACCTGCCGAGAACGTCAGCATAACTACGCATAAACGTACTACACATTAACCATCAGCCACAAACTTGCATTTCCTGACATGCCCCATCGCCACCAACAAAGGAAGAAACTCAGTGCCACCGGGAAATATTGCCTAAAATGCCCACGGCAATGCCATTTCTTTTTTTTTGCCAAAGCAGAGAAAAGTTTCTGACTCTCGCACAACCGCCCGATAGCACGCGGTGGCAATGCCGATGAGCATTTCGAAACTACAGCGGGGTCCCGGATTCGCAGCGTGGAACAGCGAAAAAATGGACACAATCAACTGCTCGTGATACAGTTTTTTCGCGGTCTGCGAAATATATATATATATATATAAGGGTGATGAGAAATGATGGGGGTGACGAGAAATCCGCCTAGTGGGAATAAATGGCAGTGTTCGTGGTATCGAAACTAGAGCAGGGAGATATGGTATTAGCACGAATGCCTTGTCAATGCATGCCCTTAAGCCCGAAAGCCGCGAGGCATGTGCTATCTTGAATGTGGCCACCACAGACGCGACCTCTGTACCGGCTACAGATCACCTTGGTATATGGACTGCAAACTATGCGCATCTTTCAAAAATGTGAATAGTGATTGAAGTTTAAAAAGCACATCTCTACTGATGAACATGACAGGATGTAGTGGAAGCTGCTGTCAGAACGGTAATAAAAAGTGCTTTTTTCTTGGGGCCTCTAACTCCTTGCGCTGGATGACCATGTGGAAAACCGTAAGTGGTTCTCCATGTTTCACATAGAGGGTCTACCAGACTGCAAATATTCATACGTGCTGTGTGTATATCCTATTGGTAATTGGTAAAAGTGTGTAGCATGACCTTGATAGTGTTGGCCAATTTTCAAGCTCTGACTTGACAACATGTAGTTTATTTTCTGAATTTGCCTATCCCATACGTGCTGCCGGCACGCCCTGATCTAGCTCTCAATGAAGTAAAGGTTCCAGCTCGGTCAAGTGCAGGGACAGCTATAGCTAAATGTATATATACCCAGATGTATTGGTGGAGACATTGTCATGGATGGAGGCAGCTAGTTGATCCGCCAAAATGTTTCCACTGATCTAACGGTGCCCTGGCACTCAGCACACTACAATATGTTATTTGAGAGCTTAGATCATGCATTAAAGAGAGGACATCAAGGGCTGGGCTTTTATGTTTTTCAGCGTTTTCAAACCTTTTATGATGCGAAGAGTATCTGTGTATATAACCACGTGCTGCTGTTGTGATTCCTTTACATGTTTAAAGGTCACAGATATAAAATGAACTTCTGTGGTGAAGATGCTGATTTGGGAGTGCAGAACACCAGAATCTAAAAAAGATGGTCCAACAGCTGCATATGACACACCGGTGTGAGATTTTGAAGCATATGTAAAAAATGACATAACATGTGTACAGAACTAGCTTAGCAACGAGCACTGATGAGTTATTTACGTATCTGGGTAGCCTACCATCAATTTTTCGATCCAGTTTAGAAAACTCTTCTTTAGAATATTGGTGCTCGTTTTTCTGGGGCACGGCGTGCAGTGCCACATCCACAATACCAGATTTGATCTATTATCAGGAAACTAGTATACTAATCTGAACAACGTTATTGCATCATCTAAGAAAACATTTGAGTTTTTACGACGTCATTTACAAAGCGCTCTACAGTATGTCAAGTTACTAGCTTATAAAACACTAATACGGCCCAAACTAGAATACGCATCAGCCATTTGGGATCCTCGCCAGATATTCCTCACAAACGCCTTTGAGACTTTTCAGAATCGTGCCATTACGTTTCATTCATTCCGCCTTTTCATACGATATCAGCGTAACATCCTTGAAATTGGAATCCGGTTTACAAACACTTTCTAATCGACGCCACATTGTTAGTTTATCATTATTTCATAAATTCTACCACAGTGTGCTAAATCAAAAACCGTATATTTTGCCACCATCACGCATATCCTATCGTATTGGTCACCCCTTAAACGTTGCCCGTCCTCAAGCTCGCACAGTCACCTTTGCATCTTCTTTCTTTCCTCGAGCAGCCAAGGACTGGAACGACCTTACACAAGAAATCGCTAACTCAAGCCCCACTGCCTTCATTGAAGTGATCACATCACATTATACCATATAATAAAGTGTTCAACCTGTTGCACACATTGCAACCCACTCCTTATGTAATACCCCCTGGTGGGGTCTTTAAGGAATAAAAGTGAAAGTGAAAGTTAAATCTCTGCACAGCTTTAACCCAGTTTCTTGTAACCATGTCTCTTGTAGCTGGCTTGATACCAGAAACCTTATGAGAGCCAAATGCTGCTGAAAACATGCGCACTGGATGCACGCACTTTTCTTGTACATGACTTTTTTTTGCATGCCATGAAAGGTAACAGTATTGCACATGTGTATAAGACTTTACTCACGTGCAGTTCGCCTTGATTGCATCCGTGAGAGTGTCCCGGGCCCTGCACAATGTGAATTAATCAAACACTGCTGAAAGAAGGCATGCAAAAATATTCCTGCTTTAGAATATTTTTTGTATGGTGCTTGCTATATGATTCAATTAGCACTGAAGTTTTACTATACAAAGTATTGAAACACCTATAAAATAAGTACACTCGAACACGAATACAGTCAATCTCTGATATATCAAACTAGAAGGAGATCGTGAAATCATTCTATATATCGATAACTCGATATGAGAAACATCATATTTAGGACTTATATAATAAATTACAGCTCTCCAAACAGCATTTACAAATCATAGTAAATGTTAACATAACAAGTAGCAAAATGCACTGATGCAGCGGATGTCATTGTCAGCTAAGATGACGCACACTTAGTTGTCACCCATCACCAAAGCCCACGAGAAAAAGGTGCAAAACAGCGCCTTGCTTGACCTCGTTCTTAGCAGCAGTCCTCATTGTCAGCTAATATGACGCACTCTATGATATCCCCTGTCACTAGGCTTGTGCGAATAGAAAATTTGAGGTTGTGGGGGTGTGTATGAGTCCGCACACTTTCACTGCAATATGCAGTAATCGGGTCAAGCAGCCGACACATTTTTACTGTACTCCGGACAATGGTCAAGTCCTGCAACTTCCCGTAACACGACAAGCAACTTGTCCGAGACAGTTTTTTAGGGACTTGCTCGACCCCAAGCTCTAAGACAAATGCTGTCAGAACCCGAAAATGACGTTGCAAGAAGCATCGACACTCATCCAACAACACAAAGACGTAGATAACAAGCACAGAGCTCGTGACACATCAGAGGCATCATTGTTTGCCGTCGACGCCACTCGCAAGGGAAAGCGAGTGCCAGCTGATAACACAATGCAACAACTGTGCCCACTCTGCGGGCGAGCCTCATACTCTCCCGCCAACTGTCCGGTTCATCGAGCGTCCTGCAAGTTTAGCCACAAGACTGGTCATTTCAAGAACGTGTGCCACAAACAGAAGCGAGCAAGCAAGAAGCACACGCAGACACCTTCGACTAGCTCCACTGAATTGCATGCAGTTGCGGGAGAGTGCACCAATGCAAACTTTGTCGAAATACTCGTTGATGTGCACCCATTTCAATGTTGACTCTGGCACTGAAGTTTCTGTTGAACCTAGTACATTTTCCAGTGTCCACTCAAAGCTTCAAAACCCCAAGAGCGAGCTGAAAAGCCCTGGCAACAACATGCTACTAGTCATAGGTAATTATGTCGCTGCCCTGTCATAGCACAGCAAGTCAACCAAGCAGCTTCTTTATGTCCTAGCAACCAAGACGGTGCCGCTGCTAGGCTTCCCGACAATTCAAGGCCTTGGTGTCTGCACATTTGTTGACATAGTCATGAGGACTTCACAGCCTTCGGGTGACTTGTGTCTCAATACCAATCTCTTCAAAGGACTTAGGACGCTCCCTGAAGCCTACAGTATCAGACTACAAACCAATGCTACGTCTTCCTCCTTGAGCGTGCCCTGGTGCATTCCACTCCCTCTCCGTGACGTTGCCAAGACTGAGCCAGATAAGCTGGAAGCGGAGGGCATGATTTGTCGAGTGGACACACCCACTGACTGGTGTGCTGGACTGGTTGTTGTCCTCAAAGTCTCGGGCGGTTATCGACTGTGCATGGAGTTGACTCGTCTCAACAAAGTTATTCTTTGAGAGCGTCACGAGCTCCCATCAGTGAAACACTGCCTTGGATTGCTTGGAGAGGCAACAGTTTTCTCAAAGTTTGACGCTACGTCATGCTTCCATCAGGTCAAGCTGTCCCTGTGTCCCATGAATTGACAACGTTTGGATGCTAATGTTTTCTCTGGCTGCCCTTTGGGATCATGTCTGCACTGGAGTGCTCCTAGTGGCAGATGTCTCAGATCCTGGAAGGCAAAGTGAGTGTGGTGAACATGATTCACGACATGCTTGTCTTCGAGAAGACACGCTGTCTTCGGATCCGAGCATGACCGCCATCTCTGTCAGGTCATGAACCGGCTATCAAAGGCAGGAGCCACGCTCAACCGTGCAAAATGTTGGCTTGCCACTTCTAAGGTCAAGTTCCTGGGCACCATGGTGAAGGCAAAAGTCATTTCTTTTGACCCAAACAAGTTTGCGCCGATTCAAGCCGTGAATCCCCAGAAGATGTCGTAGGGGTTCATCGTCTCCTAGGCCTTGTGAAACACATCAGACGCTTCATGCCACACGTTTCAGAGGTGACTGCACCAATCAGAGCATTGTTGCTCAAAAACTCTGCCTGAACTTTGGGCCCGGCACAGCAGTCTACCTTCTTCGAACTAAAGAAGCTACTGAGCTCCGATCTCTGTGTAGTTCGGTACAGCACCACATAAAAGACCGCAATCTCGGCCGATGTCAGCTCCTACGGTCTTGGGGCCGTACTTTTTTTTTCCTTACAGGCCCCAGTTCGGGTATAAGATAAAAGGGGGGGGGGGGGTAACACAGAAATTTAGGGATCTAACTTATCAGGTCACATATTTCAAACACACTTCTTAGAGAAATGAAACATTGCTGTGATGCAAAAACAAAAAACAGACTAAAATCTCAATCAATATTACAATGTGAGGCAATCAGTGACCAAGAAAAACACTGATATATATAGAGTTAAGAACACAATATACAGCGTTACGCTTGGTGACACTATATGGTGATATTTCCCACTGAGCAATACGGATCAATGATTGATTTGATTGATTTGTGGGGTTTAACGTCCAAAAACCACCATATGATTATGATTATGAGAGACGCCGTAGTGGAGGGCTCCGGAAATTTCGACCACCCGGGGTTCTTTAACGTGCGCCCAAATCTGAGCACACGGGCCTACAACATTTCCGCCTCCATCGGAAATCAGCAATACGGATCGGCAAAAGCGATTGATTGAAAGAAGTCGTTGAGCCATGCAACTTCAAAAAATGCCGTCTAGTGAACGTCGAGCAGTCGCTTTTGCATCACGCTTTCTAACACCCACGGAACGGCCATATAGCCAAACCGAAAAAGAAGCCTTGGCAGCCAGCTGGGCAGAGTAAAAATTCAAAGAATACTTGGCGGACTTAACTTCTTCCTGAAGGCGGACCATCGATCGCTAGTGGCACTCCTGGTTTCGATGGATGTTGATCTACTGCCATCACTGATCCAGCGGTTTCACTTGAAGCTCATGCGCTTCCAGTACGAAGTACTTTATGTACCGGGGAAGCTGTTAGCAACTGTGGATATGCTTTGGCATTTATCGCCGGATTCTACTTTATCCAACTAGGTGAATGAGGTCGAGCTCTTTGCTCAATAACTCGTCCACTCCTTGCCAGACATCGGCTCTTCACAGCTCGAGCGCCTGCTCCAAGCCCAAGCCAACGATGGCTAGTGCAGTCTGCTGGTTCAGTACTGCACCAGTGGCTGGCCTCGACAGTCCCACTTGCCTCAGCACTGTGCGTCAGCAATGTTCTTGCAAAGTAGTTCACACAAAAAATAAGCATGTAAAACATTTAATCTGATGTCTCAGCACTGCATTTCGGCAATGTTCTTGCATCAGCATTTACACATCTTTCCAACAGCTTTATCTTTATCATTTTCAATATTGTCTTCCCTTCGTAAATCCTTGAAGTTGCTCTGTGTGCCGCGACCTCTGCTACATAGATTGTGTAGCACACATGCCGCTGTGACAATGAGGCAACACTGATCAATGGTGTCTGCATTCACAAGATATAACTGTTTGAAGTGCTGTTTTCAAATGCCAATGGCATGTTCTATAGCTACGTCTGGCTGGCTGAGCCTCTTATTAAACTTTCGCTTCTAGCACTCAAACGTGGCCATGTTGCTCTTGTCTGGGAGCATTAGCCATGAAAGGAGCGGGTACACTGCGTCCCCTAGTAAATCATCACCGGCGCACTTAAATTGTGCAGTAACGTAGAAGAAGCTCTCAGCACACATGTGTCGTGCACGCTGCCAGGCTAACCAACAAAAATGTCCGTGAAATAGCTGCTTGCATTACAGATTCCTAGAATATTGACTGAAGGAAATCTTTTTCCACTGTAATGAGAGGATGCTGGTAATTCATCCTGGTGTGGAATCTCTATGTGGCAACCATCTTACACCCAATAGTGTTTGTCAGACCTTTACTGTCGCTACTAGCAGCAAAGACTGCTTTGATATTCCCCCCTCTTGATCACTGGGCCAAGCAATCACTTCATCACCGATGCTAAATAGAAATAAATAGAAAGTCAAGAACCCTTTTCAACCTCAGAGACACAGATGACTTGGAGACATCAAACGTATCGGCGTTTCTGTACCTACCATTCTGCGCACCAAAGTAGCGCCAATCATGGACACACGTTTCAGTATACAAAATGCCATAAACCATGTGAAAGCCTCTCTTTTTTTTGGGAGATTTGCAATAATCGCAAATGAGAGAACAAGGAACCCCCACCCTCCCCTGAACCCTTTTTCTTCATTGTTTCATTCACTATAATAGAAATGATGAATACATGCATACTCCATCAAGCCTTTCATCAGAAACACCAGTGCATATTTTTTATTCTTAGTAGCTCTTCCTTCACCATCTTGAGTTTCGTTCCATGATCAACCAAGAGCCCTCCAAATTTTATTGGATTATCTTTCACCGTGGGGAATGGGGGTGGAGGGTTCGCTCGAGATATTATGAAAGTCATGTCCTCAGAATGCAAAATTACTTATTTTCATAGGAGTTTGCATAATGAAAGGAACACGTTGCCATTTCTATTTCACTCAAAATCAATTTGGCACAGATGGACTATAGTTGAGCTCGAAATGAGCTTCAGTCGACTAGCTTTAAAAATGCACTGCATTCTGTCCCCAATTTATTATGGCGGCGATGTCACTCTATCTGTTACTGGCAGTCTGTTTATGTTTCTGTTTTATACTTAACCGACTTGTTTTGTGAAATGTGCTTTCCAAATACTCTCTTTGTGTTTCCAGATTAGCCTGCGATATAAAAATCATTACATCATCCAAAAAAAGCGTGCCATAACCTATGAAAAAATGCATTCAACTGATTGGACTTAATTTGTAATTAAAAGCAGTTGCAGTACTCACCAGAGCCAGGAGGTGGCCTCAGCTTCAGCTTCATCTTTGAGCTCACGTCGGCGGGTCTCCTCAGCTGCACGAAAGGCACGCCGCACCCAGGCACCCCATGCAGGGGTCACAACCAGGCACCGCGCCCAGTCAGCCCCATCTAGTGGTATGTCCTGCACACCTCAGCACACAAGGAAGTGGTACTTGAAAAGCAAACCACCAATAGAAAGACCATGCACTATGCAACAGCACAACGAAAGGCTCTGCTATTTTACCAACATTACAGGGAGTGATATAATAATGACATAACGCACAATAACGACAGCATGCAGATCCCCAAGATACTGAAGAATTCATAAGGTGAGCCTGGTAGCGTCTATTTAGAAAGGAGTGAGGTAGCGTCACTATACAAAGATTGCACACTAACAACATCAGACTACAAAAATCGTCCAACCTTAAGATTGGGTCAACTGGTTTCTTGATCCGCTGAGATTGTCGTAATTCTAGGACTGGGTAGCCTTCAAAAAGATGGGTTTGTGGCAGCGCTGGTTCTTCAGGAGGCAAATACGCTGTTTCCCATGCTGGTGCTATTTCTTGTTTCGTAGTGGGCTTTTTCACTGAGGCTGTGCTCTGGCACAGACAAACTTCATTCAGATGCCACTCAAGTTCACCTGCAGCAGTTTGGATGGTGGTATACAAGAGACCATGGCTACAGCTGCCAGATGCGCCCGATCCAGCCGTTCACCCCCTCTCCTCTAGCCCTTTCTTGCTCTTACCCATCGCCTAGCCTTTGCATGCACTTTGCGGTCATGGGTGAGAGAAACCCTTTTTGTGGTAGCTCAGAGCGAAAATCATATGAAGTAATTTTATTGTTCAGCTGTGTAGAGATCCGAGGGGCACTGTCTTGCATTCCTTGTGTTAACAATGTTGGCGGTAACGCTGGCTCTGTAATGAATACGGTGTTTTGAGATAGCACGTCACCGTTCGCAACGCTAAGCAGGCAACGAAAGAGGAAGAGTCACTGCAACACTGCTGCATGCGCTTACTTTATTAAGAAAGCTCTGAGGCTGCAGCAGCATTGCTGCGAGCCACAGAGAAAGAGCACAAAGGAACAAACCTAACAGAAGTATGATACAGGAGAAGGAAATAAATCTATCACATCTTCATAAAAAAGCACTTGGATGCACATGTGACACAAGCAGCCCTACACTGTACGTGACATCGCACCACAACCCTTCCCCTGAACTAGTGTGAAGCAACAGCTCCCTTTGAGGAGCACGTGATTGCACTGACATTGAATGAAATAAACGAGGCGTTGCTGCTACAGTTCTTGGAAGCAATTGTTCTTCGAAATTGCGGGACCCAGATGGAGTCACTGGGGATGAGCATGTTCCCACTTTTCCCCTGCATGCAAGGAGGAAAAGACATAGGCATAAAAAAGCGGGTGTCGTGATAGCACTAACAACTACCGCTCAATTTGTATTTTGCCATTTTTTCAGTAAAGTCATTGAAAAGCTTTTGTACATTTGTTTAATGAACTAGCTAAACAAATTTAATCTTCTCTCTCGACGGCAGTCTGGTTTAAAGAATGGTTATTTGAAAAAACAGGTATGACGACTCGGTTGTAGCGAGGTTTATTGGCCGTGAACTCGGGAACGAACAAGCGCAACGGACTCGACAAAGAAGCGGTCGTGCCAAGCAGATGATGATTGTCAGCCAGAACATATGATGATGACTGACTGCTGTTCAGATGAGGATGAAGCGCATAATAGATGCCTACACTGATTCCCCCTCCCCCGTGGAAGCAGCCAGCCTGGCCGCTGCGGGCGGGTAGTCAAGGTGACGAGGAACGTCGTGTGAAAAGCTTCATGCGGGAAACGTGTACAATTTCGGTGCTGCGGTAACGGCGGTCAGTTGGCACGACAAGAGGCGTCACACGATAGTTGACCAGTGAAGTCTGCTCTAAAACAACATATGGGCCGATGAATCGAGGCTGGAACTTGTCGCAGAGACCAGGTGTGCGAATTGGTGTCAATAGCAGCACCTCGTCACCCGGTCGGAATGATACCACACGATGAGAGGTGTCGTAGACGGCCTTCCTTGCTTGTTGCGTAGCTTCCGTGTTCATACGAGCGCGCTGGCGGCACTGGGCAAGGCGAGAAATATATTCTTCGCAAGAAGATGGTGATGTAGGGCCATTGCTGGTGAAGAAGGAAACATCGATAAAGAAAGTAGGTGAACGTCCGTAAACGAGATAAAACGGTGAGTAGCCTGTTGTGCGCTGAACAGCGGTGTTGTAGGCGAAAGTGAGGAACGGTAGAAGTTTATCCCAGTTTCTGTGATCCGGTTGAATGTATACGGCGATCATGTCGGCAAGGGTTCGATGAAATCTCTCGGTCAGACCATTTGTTTGAGGATGGTAGCTAGACGCCATCTTTTGTGTGGTACCAGAAACGCGAAGAACTTCACCTAAAAGCTGTGATAGGAACACCTTTCCACGGTCACTCAGAAGTACACGAGGTGCACCATGACGTAGTATTATGGCCTGAAGGACGAAGTCAGCAACTTACGATGCTGAACCAGTAGCTACTGAAGTTGTCTCGGCGTAGCGTGTCATATGGTCTACGGCGGTGACTATCCATCTATTTCCAGCACCAGTAAGAGGAAGGGGTCCATAAAGATCGACACCGACGACCTCGAAAGGTGTTGTAGGGCACGTCATTGGCTGTAACTGACCAGCTGGGGGAGATGTCGGAAGTTTGCGAAGTTGGCATGGAGAGCAGGAACTTACGTACTTTGCTACGCTGGTAGAAATCCCAGGCCAATAAAAGCGGCTTCGAATGCGGTCGTAGGTTTTGTGAAAGCCTAGGTGTCCAGCAGTCAAATCGTCATGAAAGGCGTTAAGTACATGATGTTGAAGAGCGCGTGGCAGAACAGGTACCCAGCGTGTGCCGTCAGGATGATATATGTGACGATACAGCACACCGTCCTGAAACTTGAAGTGCTCGAGTTGTCGACGAAGGCGTGCATTGGGTGGACGCGTAGCTCCTGAAAGGTGGTCTATAATGCGCCGACAATACGGGTCAGCCTGCTGGTGAGAACTGAAGGGTTGTTCATCGTCGATTGGCGGTTGGTACAGCGAGGCGAGCAAGGCAACAAAAGTGGGAGTCACGTCCGCACTGGTGTCGTTGGAGGTGGCAGCTGGAGTGTCGAACGACGCTGTAGGTAGTGGGCAACGAAAAAGAGCGTCGGCGTCTTGATGTTTTTTGCCCGATTTATAAATAATCTCAAACTGATACTCCTGTAGGCGTAAAATCCAACGACCCAAGCGTCCGGACAAGTTCTTCATTGTAGAAAGCCAGCATAAGGCGTGGTGGTCCGTTACGATGATGAATTGACGGCCGTACAGATAAGGACGGCACTTTTGTATGGACCAAACTACAGCAAGGCACTCCTGCTCAGTGATGGTATAGTTTTTTTCGGTAGAAGTTAGCACTCGGCTAGCATATGCGATGACCCTTTCCCGTCCAGAGTTATCGCGTTGGAGGAGAACAGCACCTATACCGCAGCCGCTGGCGTCGGTATGCAGGAGTGTTGGGGCGGTGTCATCAAAATGGCAGAGTACAGGCTCTGACGTCAAAGCTTTCTTCAATAGGTGAAACGCTGACTGACATTCCTCGGACCACACAAAGGGTGCATTAGATGCAAGTAGTTTGTGAAGTGGCGCAGCTATTGAAGCGAAATTTTGTATGAAGCGACGAAAATATGATGCGAGGCCAAGAAAACTTCGCAAATCCTTAAGTCTTGTGGGGCATGGAAATCGAAGGACGACAGCGATCTTTTCGGGGTCAGGGCGAATACCGTCCTTGCTGACGACATGACCAAGAACCTTGATGGATTTGGTGGCGAAACGGCACTTCTTAGTGTTGAGCTGCAGACCCGCACCGGCGAGGCATGTTAGGACGTCATCCAAGCGGCTCAGGTGCTGAGAAAACGTTGATGAAAAGATGATAATGTCATCAAGGTAGCAGAGACACGTCTTCCATTTCAGACCACGCAGGACGGTGTCGATCATGCGTTCAAACGTCGCGGGCGCATTGCAGAGCCCGAAAGGCATCACGTTAAATTTGTATAGGCCATCGGGGGTTGCAAATGCCGTTTTTTCTTTGTCGTCATCGTGCATGGGAATTTGCCACTATCCCAAACGCAAATCAAGGCTTGAAAAGTATTCGGCGCCTTGCAGTGAATCAAGGGCGTCGTCGGTGCGTGGCATGGGGTATACGTCCTTGCGTGTGATGTTGTTAAGTGCCCGGTAATCAACGCAACAAAAGCGCACGGAGCCATCTTTTTTCCGTACCAAAACAACAGGGGATGACCAAGGGCTAGTTGATGGACGAATTATTTCTCGTTGGAGCATGTCAGCGACGTTTTCCTCGATGATTTTTCGCTCAGCGAGAGACACGCGGTACGGGCGGCGATGTACAATAGATGTTCCCTCCGTCTGAATGCGATGCGCTGCAGTGGTAGTTCGGCCCAATGTTGAGGAGCAGGTGTCGAAAGAATCGGCGTGTTTCGTTAATAACGCAAGCAACTGCTGCGCCTGCATAGCTGTTAAGTCATCACTGATAAGAGCTGTGAAGGGAGAGGATGAGGCAGGCTTACTCATAGAACGGTCGTTGGTAGAGGCAGGGTTAAGTGGCGTGACGCTGATAGGCTCAGCATCCACAACACAGGCTACTGCAGTGCCCTCTGGCAGGAAAACTTTCTCTGGCGTTTCATTCGTAGCAATGACGAGCGCGGAGCCATGGTGAAAGCGTACGACACCTGATGCAAGGGCTATGCCTTTTGCGACGCAAGTCGACGAAGGGGACACCAAGACGTCACCGTGGTCGATGTCCTTAGAGATCAGGGTCACAATTCGTTCTTGATGTGGCGGTAGTTCGAGATCTTCGCGAGCGAGACGCCTTCGTCGAACATGGAGTCCGTATTAGTTAGGTGCAGAATCCGTTCACCACAACATATAGCGGCTGAAGAAGAAGATAGGAAGTCCCACCCTAGAATTAGCTGGTGAGAGCACCGGGTAAGCACAGTGAACTCGATGTAATGCAAAATGTCATCAATAAACACACGAGCAGTACAAAGAGCAAAAGGGCGGATAGCGTTCCCCTGGGCT